CCTATATCATGGAGCTTGGATCTCTGGTCTTGGAGAAGGGATGGGAAGGAAAGATGCGCCGCAAGGTGCTGGGTGCAAAGATGGCAATAGGCCAGAAATTCGCAGACTGGGCATACGACATCCAGAATGTCAATGCTATTCTCTCACAGGCTGCCCCAGTCTTTGCTATTGCCGACCCAGAGTTGAAGAACATCCTTGATGCTGGCCTTACAGAAACTCTTCAGGCAGATCTTGATACAGAGCCAGTTCTCTCCACAGAACTCAATGCTTGGATCTCTGAGGTCAAGGGACGTGATGATCGTCTCAAATTTGAAACTGGACGCATGCAGGAGCTTATCGATGCTCAGCCTGCAAAATCATCTCCAAAGGGGAAACCCTCCTCAGCAGATCGCCTTTCCTCACCGAAGCCATCTCTGGCATCAAGGCTTACTGCACCTCCTCCAAAGGACACCATTCTAAAGTGTCCCCCTCTGACCGATGCAGAGAAGGTTCTCCTTGACCTTCATGATGGCTGTCGCCGTTGCCGCAAATTTTACATTGGGCACCGTACGCTTAATTGCGACGGTGACTTCCCAGATGCGGCTACCTACCGTACCCTCACACAGGCAGATGCTATAGCCCAAGCTACTGCTCGTGGGAAAACCCTTCGCATCAAGCGTGAACCAACTGCTGCTGTTCGTGCCTCCAAGAATATTCTTGCTGCGGATTATGAAGAATCTGATTCTGACCGTGATGGGTATGTTCTGCCCCCTCTGACTGTCCCACATCTCTATGCCAATATCACCCTGTCTGGCCCTTCTGTCTCTGAATTTCCTGTTCCTGTTCGCTCATTGCTGGATATTGGTTGCCCCTCCATAGTTATTAGTGACCAGCTTGTCAACCAGCTCGGTTTTCGACGATTTCCTCTTCCCACTGAAGAGGATAATCTGTCATCACTATCGGAATCACCATTGAGCTGCAGGGAATTTGTGAAGTTGAAGGTGTCATCAGCAGATGGGAATTGGACTTCTGGGGTTGTCAGAGCTAAGGTTAATGTTGGTCTATGTATACCATTGATATTGGGAATGCCATTTTTATCTGGGGAACATATTACGATTGACTCTGCATGCCGTACTGCAGTTGATAAGCGCACTGGCTTTGATCTGCTCAATAACCCAACTCATCCACCTCGTCAATGGGCACCTGAATGGACTGTACCAGCACCAACTCCAAAGAAGCCAAAGCGGAAGCCTGTGTTATCTGAACCTGTTCCACTTGGATCTAGTGCCCTTCTGCCTATCAGTGTTATGTTACAGGTCAAAAATCGCATTGATGACCTTGACTTGCAAAAACTCCTCAAGGATGAGGATATTCGTTTGAAAACAAAGCATGCCGATGTATTCCCTATCTGTTTACCAGATAATACTGCCGATCTCCCTGGTGACATATTACACCGTATCCGGCTGAAAAACCCTTCAATCACCGTGAAGGGAAAAACATACCAACCTGCGCGGAAAAATCTGGACTCATGGAAACGAATGCTTGATGAACACATTGCTGCTGGTCGAATGCGTCCATCCTCTTCAGAGTATTCTTCACCTGCATTTGTAGTCCCAAAATATACAGGTGGACTTCCAGATCCCTCAATTGATCCTCGTTGGGTCAATGACTACAGAGAACTGAACAAGAATACAATCAGAGACACCTTTCCCCTCCCACGAATCGATGATATTCTAGCAGATTGTGGTCGAGGGAAAATCTTTGGCAAGATGGATATGACCAACAGTTTTTTCCAGACTCGGGTCCATCCAGATGATGTCCACCTTACAGCAGTCCGAACTCCATGGGGACTATATGAGTGGCTAGTAATGCCGCAAGGAGGTTGCAATGCTCCTTCAACTCATCAGAGGCGTGTCACAGAAGCCTTGCGTCACTTGATTGGGAAGATCTGCCATGTTTATGTTGATGATATTATCATCTGGTCTGATTCCATCGAGGAGCATACACAAAATATTGAGCTTGTTATTGAAGCACTTCGCAAAGCCAAGCTCTATTGTAATCCTCGCAAGTCCCAACTCTTTGCAACAGAAATCACTTTCTTAGGGCATGTTATCTCTGCCCAGGGAATCTTCGCAGATCCTAGAAAGGTGGAACGAATTGTGCAATGGCCTCAGCCGAGATCTGCTACCGATGTCAGAGGATTCCTTGGATTAGTTCGATATATTGCGACTTTCCTACCCAAGCTGGCAGAACATACATCTCATCTCACACCCTTAACTACCAAAGAGGCAGAGAAATCCTTTCCTATCTGGACTGATGCACACCAGCAATCATTCCAGGCCATAAAAAACATTGTGATTAGTCGTGACTGTCTCACTGTTATTGACTATGAGGACTCTACGAAGACAATCTATGTCACCACAGATGCTAGTGATCGCCGCACTGGTGCTGTCCTGAGTTTTGGAGAGACTTGGGAAACTGCTCGTCCAGTTGCCTTCGACTCATATCGGTTGAATGCAGCGGAAAAAAATTATCCTGTCCATGAGAAGGAACTCCTTGCTATAGTGAAGGCACTGAAGAAATGGAGGAGCTCATTACTCAATGTCCATTTCAAGGTTATGACAGATCATCGTACCTTGGAATACTTCCAGGCTCAGAAGGATATGTCTCGCCGACAGTCCCGCTGGTCCATGTATATGGCTGACTTTGACTATGAAATCCACTATGTCAAAGGGGAAGATAACTGTGTTGCAGATGCTCTGTCTCGTCTGCCCAACCTCGAGGATGAAAGTTCAGAAATGACACCTCTGGTTGCAGCTGTACTGCTCTCACAGACACACCTACCTCAGAGAGATCGAATTCCTGCTGCTGCAGGTACTCTCAATATATCTGCTGATGAAGAATTTCTACGTCGGATCTCTGCCGCGTATGATACAGATGAATTCACTAAGCAGCTTGAGGCTGGTATCACAGCTGGAAGCATCTCAGGTGTTCACAGAAGCCCTGGCCAGAACCTAGTATATATTGGTGACCGGCTAGTCATTCCTAAGGATCCTGCAGTACGGGAACTTCTCTATCATCTGGCCCATGACTCTCTTGGACATTTTGGGTTCACAAAGAGTTATGCTGCCCTGAGAAATTCATTCTATTGGCCCAACATGAGGCGTGATCTTGAGGATGCATATATTCCCTCATGTGTTGACTGCCAGCGAAACAAAAGTCGAACAAAGAAACCTGTTGGGCCTTTACATCCACTTCCAGTCCCAGATGGCCGATTTGAAAATGTTGCATTGGACTTCATTGGGCCCTTACCTACTGATGAAGGTTTTGACATGATCCTGACTATGACCGACCTTATGGGTGCAGATGTACAGATTGCCGCTGTACACTCTGATGATACTGCAGAACAGACTGCACTGGTCTTATTCAACGAGTGGTACTGTGAGAATGGGTTAATGAAAAACCTAATCTCTGACCGGGACAAGGCATTCACATCCAAACTCTGGGAAGCCTTGCACAAGCTTACTGGAGTAAAGCTAAAGATGTCTACATCTTACCATCCAGAAACAGATGGAGGCAGTGAACGCACCAATAAAACAGTTGTCCAGGCTATCCGCTACCATGTAGACCGAAATCAGAAGGGATGGCGTGCCTCACTACCACGAGTTCGCTTTGCCATAATGAATTCACTCAATGCATCCACTGGATTTTCACCATTCCAGTTGAAATCTGGTCATTCACCTCGGATTATTCCAGCCCTTACACCTGCCATTGGTGGAGAGACTGTAGAGGAGTTGGATGCTCGGTCACTCATTGAACAGCTTGAGTTGGATGTACAAACAGCTCAGGACAGCTTGTCAGCTGCTAAAGTCAGACAGGCCTATCATGCAAATATGCATCGGACAGCTGAAGATGTATACCAAATTGGTGACCGAGTTATGCTCTCAACCACGAATCGACGTCGTGATTACAAGCGGGCCGGTGCTAAACGAGTAGCCAAATTCATGCCTCGAGATGATGGTCCATATGAAGTGGTCAAGGCCTTTCCAGAGCGCTCTGAATACACCTTGAAACTTCCCAACAACCCTCAACTGTTCCCAGGATTCCATGCTCATCTATTGAAACGCCACATCCCTAATGACCCTATACTGTTCCCAACTCGTGAACCAGCCCGTCCAGGTCCAGTCATTACACCTGATGGTGCAGTTGAATGGACAGTTGAGAAGATAGTGGATGAGCGGAGACGTGGGCGTGGCAAGCAATACTTGGTGCGCTGGGAAGGATATGGCGCAGAATTCGATGAGTGGGTCCCTGGCCGAGAGATGCAGGATACAACTGCACTTGATGTGTGGGAGGAAGAGGAAGAAGAATTGTAACTGATTCAAATTTTTTGAAGTGGGGGAGAGTGTAAGTCTGGCACTTACAACAGTTGATGAAACCCGGTCCAATTATTACTAACCATCTTTGATGGATGATCCCAGTATTTAAACCTTTCATATCACATGTTCTTCTTTATCTTGTCTTTCACTTACACTACGACAATCTAGGTTACTATTTCTTTTCATGTATTCCTATCTTGTCTTTCACTTACACTACGACAATCTAGATCATTGTTCTTGTCTTTCTGTCTGAATCAGTGAGGACGCATCGCCGGCGTCCTTTCAATGTGCTTTCTGTGGGCATTAGAGAGAGTTCAGGTAGGAAGAGCCTATTCGAATCAGCCCTGAGCCATGTGTTGTGTTGTCATCCCAGTCCTTTTCTCTCTGTTTCGTTGAAGCCTCGAGAAATAAAGCTGCACAAATCCAGGTCAAGAACAGAGTAGGGAAAGGCTCGGAGGTCGACGGTCCACACCTGCTTTCCATACATTGATGCGACGAATCCAATTGAGTTAGCAGGAGGAGTCTGTTCGAATCAGGCCTGTGCCACGTGGTGTAAAACATCATGAAGCTTTTATCTGTGGAATCAAGAAGACCCGGATAAATAAATCCTACATAAATTCAGGTTAAGAAACCGGTAGAGAAGGCTTGGTGGTGGATGGTCCACACCTGCCTACTCTGAGCTAGCATGGAGATTGCAAGCAGGAGAAGTCTGTTCGAATCAGGCCTGAGCCATGGGCCGACTCGAGAGCTTTCTTTTATCTCTGGCATCAAGAGAGTGTGAATAAATCCAGGTCAAGAACAGAGTAGGGAAAGGCTCGGTGGTGGACGGTTCACACCTGCCAGCATTCCATAAAAAGCCAGACAATTGAGTCAGCAGGAGGAGTCTGTTCAAATCAGGCCCGAGCCATGCCGTGTAGAATGTCAAATACTTAATTAGCCAATCTTAAGTTCTAGGCGGTTCCATCCCTTTTCGGACTTAAGCTTTACTACATCTTAAGTTCTTCTACTGTAGTCTTGAGTTATTCTACTGTAGCCTACCTATGTTGTACATATCACCGCGCTGAAACCTCAATCTTAGTTTGCGCCGTGAACTCAAGTTCGCGCATGACTTAAGTTCGACCCTCAGTCAGGAAATTGAGATGAGTTCATATAAACATAATATCTTTAAATAATGAAGTACTTAAGTTTTTGGCCAAACTGGAGTTTCCCAACTTCTGCTCCGTCTTCAGTTCTACCGTGAACTTGAGTTCCGGAATGTGGCGTGAATACCTGGAATAACTAGTGATATTAATATTGAGAGTGCACAACACAGAAACATACTTGTGGCAAGGATAAACAATACTGTGGACCTATTGGGTCGCATAGTCAGTTCCTAATTTTATAAACACAAACAGTGTGGCATACCAGAATGCCACCTGACGGCGGAAAGTCATTGACATCAGAGGTCAGTCAAAGGTCAGCACAACTGAACTTGAGCTTGCACAAAGTGATCTGAAGGAATTGTGGGATATGCGAGGGTGAATTGTCGAGGAGAACAGCGAAGAGCTCATCGAAGTTAGAGCCAAGTCGAAGTGATGTGTTGTGGAGTGTTTGGCGATCTCGGCCACCATTGTGATTCAGTAACGTCACGCATTACTCATTCTAACTTCTCTTCTGTCCACCACCCATCCACTCCCCACCCACAGAATGTGCCGCCCCGACCACCAACCAACCAAGACCCAGTGAGTTCTTGGTACATTGTCTCTAATTGATTAGGATTCATTGGGCTTCAGCGCCAGCCTTCGACGAGCTGGCAAGTTAAGATCAATGTCATGCCACCTAGTAGATGGTGAAATGGTTCATAATCATTTATTCGGTGCGTACCTTGTATCGTCCCGTTTATTCGGTGTGATCACTGCGACCTCTGAACGTGTCTCGCACACTGCGCTCAACGTGGAGCACGCACGCTCCACATCCTACTACATCCGGTGCGTCCCATTTCGCTGATTGTGTCTCCGCCACACCCTTCTCTTCCCTTCCTATCCCCACGTGTCTGTCCCCAACTCCCTTCCTCCAGCCCCCTGCACCCCACCCCGCCGTCAAGTGGGTCTCTCATGCGACTGCGCGCAAATGGTGCCGAGTGCGCCGATGCCTGATTAGACGCTGGTGTTGCGCATGCGTTATTTGCCTCGGAGGCGGCAGGGGCAATTGACGGGAACTGCAGCATGCGAATCGATGTGCCTGAGTCGGATTCTACGCCAAATGCCGTCGCATGCGCGCAGTCTGCAGGAATTGCCTTTGAGGCGACAACGGGTGCGGAGGCGGCACCTGAGCTGTATTGTGTTTGCGGTTTGATTCGTGGCCGAGGTCACTGTGTGTGTGATCGAGATGCAGGTGTAGAACTTAAGTAGAAGTTGGCGGCACTTAAGTGTAAATAGAACTCAAGTTGCGAAGACTTCAGTTGTGGATGGGACTTGAGTTGTAGATGAAACTTGACGGGTGCGTACAACTCAAGTTTGAGTACAGCGCTGAAACGGTGCAGTGGCGTGCAGCCGTGAAATCTAATGATAACTGAGTAAGACCTCAGTCTTAACTCAACCCAACACCAAACTCCAACAACTAACAACAACCAACTCCTGTTTTATCGTATTTGTGTTCGAGGGGGTAGGCCAGGCGTATCGACCGTCAATTTCAATAGTGTGACACTGGTTTGCTTTGAAAAGGTCCTCAGAAGGGCATTCAACAGGTTTAACAGCCTTTCGGCGACAGATGTAGATATTCTACTAGTGGTGCACAAAACCGCAATTAAATTGGGATTTTGGCGAACGACAGCGCCGCTGGGTAGCTGACTGATTTTACGAGTGGCGGAGGGGCAACTCAAGACGTTCCGTACGCCAGGAGATGGTTCCGCCAAATGGTAAGGTTTTTCCTGGAGCTCAAGATAATTCCTTTGTGCCTGGCGCGACTACAGAGTAGTGGCGCAAGCCGAATGGCGTGGGTTCCGATGGCGCAGAGCAACTCAATGATGTTCCGTACGCCACCAGCTGGTTTCCGCCACACAGAGACCCAAACAGTAACGGTTTTTATGGGAGGTCGTAGTCCCGACCTCAGTGTTTTGAATCAACCATGATTGTCAATGAACAGCGCGGCTACGAATAGCTCTGCAACTGAACAAGATGGATGCCGATGGCGCAGAGCAACTCAAGGACGTTCCGTACGCCGATAGTTGGTTTCCGCCACACAGCAACCCCGATAGGAATGGACTTTGGTGTATGAACAGCGCGGCTACGAATAGCTCTGCAACTGAACAAAGTGGCGGGGGCCGAAGACGGAGGGACAACTCAGGCTTACGCCAAGGGAGTGTGTGTGTCAAACGGGATAAGGACCAGAGGCCTTATAAGCTGCTAAGAGCTAGGTGCCATTAAGGGGGGAGTTATTCACTGTCTAACTACTAATTTACATGCGGCTTTTATAATATGAGAGGGATTGATCCCAACTAACTAAGAGAATGATAAGCGGTCTTTACAAAATGATGAACTGATCTGAAGCGAGATATATCCTGGTAGTTGGGCAGACTTAGAGGTGTCTGCCCGGGTATTATTTGATGGTGTGGCCGCCAATCACCCGCAAGTTCTGTTTAAGCCACCTCTGCTTACAATCTCCTCGCGTAGACTCGATTAGGAGCGTCCGCAGTCCTCCGCAGTCTGATTAGTTGATGGGCTGACTGAGCCTTTTATTATCTCTTGGCACCCAAGTTCAGTGACCACCAACTGCTTTTGGATGAAGTCATGTGATTGCTTTAGGGCCGGTCTATTACAGGTGGCGTAGCCTCTGCGCCAAGTTCAAGTGGCGTGCTCGCACATTATATCTTTTTACAGTTGTGGCGTGACTTCATTTGGCGTAACTTCAGATTGGCGCAGACTTGAACATTGTCATGTGACATGACTGGTTCATTTCTCCCCTCCACCGTTATTCCATTGACGGGCACATCTTTTGAGTTCAACTCGCAAGCCGAATATTATTATTCTGGTGGCACACGTAGTACTTTGTAGGTTCCAAATCAAATAGCTTTCTTGTTATCCTTCCAATGTCCCTTGGTTGCCTCGTGCCCATATTGACATCGAGCTTACTGCACAAAAGTACAGCTTGCCGGATGAGTCCTATGGCTAGCCAGTGGGGTTGAGTCCGAATCGCAATCTCTAGCTTTGTATGAAAGCCGCAATGGCATCCTCGGTCTCCTTGGTTTATCACTAGTTTGCAGCACTGCTAACGGCTTTTTAGTGCTCAGTTCCGGGAATGTAACTAGCACCCTGTGTGTCTTACGCCTCCCCGCCATAAGGCTGGAAACATGCAAAAGCAGTAATTTCAGGGGTGCACGGATGCACACCCTATCAGCGCGGGGGACACGATTTAAATGTGTGCTATACCCGGTGGCAGGTACGTTGGCAGAAATTAAGTTTTGTGCAAAATAACTTAAGCTCTGCGCAAACTTAAGTTCGGAAAGGGATGGAACCGCCCTGAACTTAAGATGGGCTTGTTTTATTTCATAGAATGTGTCCTCTTTTTCTCCTATCGAAACAGGCAGGGTGCATAAATTCATGCTAAGAACTGGGCAGGGAAAGCTCGGTGGTGGATGGTCCACACCCGCTTTCTGTATGATGGTATGATAACCTTGAAACATGTGATCAGTGGGAGGAGCCTGTTCAAATCAGACCCGAGCCATAACTGTGTCAGGTTTTTTTATCCGTGATACAATGAGAAAAGTTGTGGCAAGTTGAAGGTAGGGTGAGGGAAGGGAAGGCTCGGTGGCGGATGGTCCACACCTGATTTCCATACGTAGTAAAAGACATCAGAATGAGTCAGCAGGAGCAGTCTGTTCGAATCAGGCCCGTGCCATGAGGTGTTGAAGGTATCCTTTTTTTCTTATCGAGAAATGTGTGCTGTGTAAATTTAGGCTGACAACAGGGAAGGGAAGGCTCGGTGGTGGATGGTCCATACCTGATTTCCATACGTAGTAAAAGACATCAGATTGAGTCAGCAGGAGGAGTCTGTTCGAATCAGGCCCGTGCCATGAGGCGTTGAAGGTATCCTTTTTTTCTTATTGAGAAATGTATGCTGTGTAAATCTAGGCTGAGCACAAGGAAGGGAAGGCTCGGTGGTGGATGGTCTACACCTGCGTATCATGAATATAGAATATGCAAGACCTTATATGCAGGAGGAGCCTGTTCAAATCAGGCCCGAGCCATATGTGGCAGGTTATTGAAGCTTTTATCTCGGGAATCAAGCAACTCCGGATGAATGCAGGCTAGTATAAGGGTAATGGATGCTCGGTGGTGGATGGTCCATACTTGCCTTCTGTGCAGTGTGGTCTCTCAGCGTGTGAACCTTTGAAGCAGGAGGAGTCTGTTAGGATCAGGCCCGAGCCATAACACTGTTGACATTTTTTATCCGCGATACATGTACAATGAGAAAGCTGTGGCTCAAGAGGCGAGCACCGGCAGATGCCGAGAAACCTAGGCTCGTCCCCATCCGGTATCCAGGTGCAGCAAAACATACACAATGTTAATCATCACTCGCTAACGCTCAGACGGAGGTCCTGGATACCGGCTGGGCCCTCTTGGTGCACTTTAAGCGGGGTTTCGGATTCCCCGCCTTTTCAGAGGTGTCGACTTGGTGCAATTTTTCTGAAAAAATGAAAGATGCATAGTTTTTGATTCTGTTGCGGATGAGCTTGATTATTTTTTTTTGAAGAAATTTTGGGGCGCAAAAAAATCGAGTTCAGTCGCAATAATTTCTGATTCTATGCATCTTTCATTTTTTCAAACATTTTGCACTAAGTCGACACCTCTGAATTGGCGGGCGGGACGAAACCCCGCTTAAAGTGTACCGAGAGGGCCCAGTCCGCTAGCGGTTGATCTCCCCGATGTGCTGTCTTTAGATGTTCCCGATTTAGCTTTAGCTCCGGACTGTGAGTGAGATCACGGCTAGCGTCGACTGGTTCACGAGTCTACGAGAAACCGACCTAACTTCAGCCACCGGCCCGATGGCCCGTATTTCGCGTTTCTCTCCCTTCCACGACCTCCGATGCGAAATCTAGTACAAAGACCATTCCTTTAACGCACTTTTCATACCTCCCTTCCGAATTTTTAGACGAAAAGACAGGGAACCCAGGCGACCAGAGGTGTTTGATGGAATTCCTTTTCTTGGAGGGCCGAATGATGGGAGCTCAATATCTCACGAAGAAGCGTCCCAGCGCTAAATTGGACCAGGGGATTAGCAGGGTCTGGCTATCTATTGGTATTCTGTTTGTATTTCTTGAATCACCCAACCCCGAGATCGAGGTGTAAGTACCACCGAAATGGGTGCCCTGTGAAAACTGTCTCTTAAAAAACTTCCGCCCACCTCTTGCCTGCGTATCATGCGTCGAAAATAGATATTGCATGCAGGAGGAGTCTGTTCGAATCAGGCTCGAGCCATGGGACAGGTTACCGAAGCTTTTATCTCTGGAATCGAGGAACTCCGGATAAATGCAGGCTAGTATAAGGGTAAGGAAGGCTCGGTAGTGGATGGTCCATACTTGCTTTACTGTGGTACGTGTGGACCTTTTGAAGCAGGAGGAGTCTGTTCGAATCAGGCCCGGCCATCACAATGGTGACATTTTTTATCTGCGACACATGGACAATGAGAAAGCTGTGGTAAATTCGGGTTCCGACGAAGGAGCGGAAGGCTCGGTGGTGGATGGTCCACACTTGCGTACCATTGCAGGGCGTCATAATACTGAGGATGCATGCAGGAGACGCCTGTTCGATTCAGGCCCGAGCCACAAGTCCAATTCCACCAGGGGTTTTATTTTAGAGTAGTCAGACATGGCCAAGTTATGTGAATTGCCCCGGGGGTTTAGAGGCTCTTCGGGATAGTAGCATGCTGCTGCGGAGTGAACACCGCAGCTGAAGATCAAAGGTTGACGGCAGGCGCCTAACCAGATGTGTACCGCGGTCGAGTCCGGGCTTGGAATCTAACTCCTCGAGGATAGAAGGACATTTTACTAATTGGGATCTCCCTGGACTTAAATACCCTGTAAATCAATACAACTTCTGGCCGTACTCGACCGCTCAACACCGTACTTGTCTGCCGTGCCACCCGAAAGGAGTCGTAGTGACCTTTGTCACTTCGTAACTTCGCTTAAAGGTGCGAAGGTTCGTGACTTTGATGGAAAGTTGGGAAAGTTCGTCACATTGGCGAGTTTCCGGGGAAGTTCGTGAGACACAAATCAAATGCATCAACCCGGCCATCATTTTTCTTCAACTCGAGTCTCTCCGTAGTCTTTTCATATAGATACCTTGCTAACCCTAACCGCTAACCTCTAACCCAAACCATTAACCCTAACCACTAACCACTAACCGCTAACCCTAACCCAAACCCAAACCGCTAACCTCTAACCACTAACCCGCTAACCCGAACCTAACCGGCCACTCTCGGCAACTTGATGGCACGCATCACTCCGTGATGTGCCGAGGAGCACTGCTTGACAAGTAACTCACAGAAGCAAGAGGTGGGCGTGCCGAAAACCCCTGATATCAAGCTCCCAAGTCTCGACGGTGGCTGTACCCCCCACCCCCACCCCCCCGTCGTGACCGGTCGATCGGACCGACCGGATGCGGACCGATGTCCGCACCCAATTCTCAATGGTCGCTTCGTCCGCTCTGCTTTTACTCAACGCTGCACGGCAAAATGACATAGAAATACAGCAATAATAATACATCTACAGTTCTGTAAGTACATACAAGAATAATTTACCGTGAACCTGATCCACTGGCAACTACGGCCTTACCGGTATTACCTTTCCGTCTTTTGCTCAAGTTCGCCGCGCCGCTGGGTGCAACCGTCCGAACGGGGACTCTGCGCACTCCTATCTGCTGAACACCATCATCTACACCCTCGTCGGGTCCCGCGACACGAGTGAATGGCGCAGCAACTTTGCCGAGCGGGATGCCGAGCGCGACCTCCTCCCCGTGGCTGATCTGCATGCTGGTCCAAACCGCGTGCGGGAGCCGCTTAGCGCCATCCGGGTTGCGTGGTGATGCGTATTCGGGATGTGCCTGCGCTACATGCTCTTCCATGTTGTACCGCCACTGCCCCGGTTGCAAGCGGCTCTTTCCCAGCCGTAAGCACGCTCGGGCAAAGACCACACACAATAGGAACATTGCGACATGGAGTGGCCTTGGAACCGCGCTCTGCATAAGCGTACTTGAAGGGCATTGAAAGACGGCAGTTGCTTTCAACGGTGACCGCGGATGTCTTGACCTGCATGCGGATAGTACATGCAGCATGTCCCGAATCACCGCAAAACCCGCACGGCAGGGAGTCTCCGACCTGGCGCAGTTTCTCGTGGATCAGCAGAGGGGGAAAAGCGGGAAAAGCGCAGGCAACTAACCGGCTTGCGCAAAGTGTCTTGAACGCCACGGAGTTTGTGCAAGATATGTATTCCCATGTGCGCGCGCTGGTTCTCAGCTTTCTCGCCGCATAGTTCACATACGCGATTCAGCCGTTCGCCGTGTTCATGAGTGAGCTGCTGGGTGGGGATTGAGGAGAGAAGAGCGGTGTTGCCTGGAGGAATAATCAGAAATACTTCTGAGGAAGCCGCGAAAAGATGTGTACCGTCATCGAACCGACACGATTGTTGTGCCGGAAATGAACTGCACGCTCCTCCAGTGCCGTTTCATCGATTAAAAGGCTGACTCCGCGGAGTTTCGTGCGGCTTGCAGCCTCCCGAGGTTTCAAAACGACCTCCTGGATATTGTGTATTATATCGGAAATATTGATTGTGCCGACGGTCGGCATAATTCGCGTGAAGGCCATGTGGCGTCGAAGAGTGCGGAGGGAGGGGAGGCCGGTTCCGTGACTGAGCGCATACAAGAGTTTACGGCCACCAAGAATATAGGACATTAGCGTAATAGCAATGGTACGAGAGTCGGTTGAGGCCCGAGGGGTGTATTTGACCACACCTTCAACAACGTCGCCAAGGAGATTAATTAGTTTTCTTGGACTGGCACCATTGCGTAGACCAGCAGAGAGCAGCTGAGTGATTCGGGGATAGTTCGACTCGGCAACAGCAAGAGAAAGGCGCCGATAATCTGTGAGCTTTTGATGCAGTTGCCGAGTTTCCGTGCAAGATTTGCGCACTAGAACACGAAAATAGGATTTTAGTGACGTCCAATGGGTAGATACAAACCGACTATCAAGCGCCATCTGCGCAATTCCGAATCCTTGTCAGTAAGAAGCTGCGTGATTTGCTGGTAATTCAGATAACGATAGTTGGTATGAGGCCGTGTGTTGGTTGCGAGATCTTCGAGTTCAAGAAGGCGCCGTGGAATTTTCGTGCATTCGGTGCATGGCAGGTCGGTCGTGGTCGTTCCGATACATTCCTTCGAGAAGGCGCGGGTGACTTCATTACTATCAATCTCCACCCGGAAAAACTCAGTTTGTGCGTCCCCTGCGCCCTTCTGAATAACTCGATGCCACGGGAAAGTCCATCCGACAGAACCGGCTTCAATATTCCAGTCGACGGCTACGCCGGGGCATGGACCCGAGTTGGTGAAGGTCGAAGTATCGGATGTAACGGTCATCGGAGGAGGAATGGAGGGTGGGATACGGGTGGAAGATACATATTGTTCTTGGGTGGTGAGGGGCGATTGGACATGTCCTCGGGCGGTGCAGAAGACGAGCGCCCATGTCTGCATAGAATTGATATTTGTGTGCTTAATACGTGAATGAAAAGCTTACTGGAAGTCGAACTGATCCTCGTCCACATCCATAGGCTCTGGAGCCGGAGTTTCAGGTGCGTTCTGGCGAGTAGGCGGAGCTGAGGCGCCACGGACAAATTTTGAGCTATACATGCATTTACGGCCCCGTTGATGAGAATCAAGGCTGCCGAATTGTCCGGACGAGTCCAAAGGAATACGCTCGGGGATGGAGGTTGCAATGGGATGGTTGCAACGGTTGCAATGGAATTTCCAGCACCCATTTTCTCCAACTTCGGTGACGATGTGTCCGGCCTTGTACAATTTATACAGGCGGGTCAGGTCAGTCTCGCGCTCCTTATCATCTTCATCTTCCTCCTCATCTTCTTCGGCATCGGAAGGAGGAAGTTCTTGAAAATCCTCGCGGGTGAATCACGGAGCCCTGTAGTAGCGGTGCTCGAGCGCTGAAATGGGAGAGTTTTGAGCTGGGAAACTTGCGGAGGAA